TATATATAGAGTTGTTTGTAGAGTTGCTAGAAAGTACAATATAGTTGTGTAGATTTAGTATAGATTATATAGTAAAGATTGTTGTTAGTCTGTTGATAAGGATTTTAGTATATAGTTTTTTAGTATATTCAATTAAATTGATTGTTTAGGTATTGTTAAGATCACTATCAAATTGTGCTTTTTTAGATATTAGAAAGATTCTGCTATTTTTTTATTGTTTTAAAATATGTTGTATTAAATATATTAATTAAAGAGTGTAGTGAGTGATTGTAGCAAATTGGTTTAGTATATTTAATTATTTCATAGCTAATATCTAATAGACTACAGACTTTGTTGTTTGATAATTGTGATGTTGTATATAGAGCTTTCTTAGTATTTATTTTTGCAAGTGAAAAACTATACTAGTCTGTATCAATATTTGGGTTAGATTGGTATTTTATTTTCTATGCTTGATTAAAGATTATTTCATTATAAGGATGATGTGCTATCTACTTGTTAAAATAGTTACTAATATATTGTTTGATCTCATTAGAATTAGCAATAATATCTGTATTAGTTTTAATATTATTAATAAAAAATAACTTTGAATAACCAGCAGTGATTATCACCAATTATATAAATAAATAAATAATTGTATAACATATCGATATAGTATATTAAAATTATATTGTATATTTAATATAAAAAATATATATATGTACATATATACATACCAGTACAACAGAAATTAAATTGTTAGAACATTTTTGTTGCTATTTGAGAATTGATTATAAAAATGTCAGATTGCACAACTTTTTTATTTGAAACTTGGAGACTACAGTATATTGTGACACTTTTTAAAAATTTATACAGAGCTAAATACATAAACTATTAAACTAAAAATCAAATTATAAATTCTTTAAATCTATATCTTTTAAACAAAAAAAAGTTTAAAAAATTTTATACTACAGTTTTTAAAATAATTAAGTTTAAGTAAAATTTTAAATTTTTACATTTGACCAGTTTTCTAAATTTTAATATAGTTTAATAGTAACTAAAATTACTAAATATAGTAATATATAAACTTAATTTTTTTATTAATAAACTAGCAATTTTTTTTAAATAAAGTTATTTGGTATAACAAATTATATATATTTTGAAAATTTTATAATTTTTAAAAAATATTTAGTAAATTTTTATATAGTAATAAAATTACTATATTTGGAAATTTATTAATTTTAAATTAAATAATTTAATTGTTATATTAAAAATAATAACTAACTTAATATTTTTTTAAAACTTTATAAAAATTTAAAATTATATATAATTTGTTATGCTAAACAATTTTTACTTAATTTTGAAATTTAATTAACTTAAATTTTTTTTTTTCGGTTTTAAGGTGAGGTCTTATCTCATATCTTTATTAGATCGGTTAGGTATTTGCCTTATATAGCTACATATAATCTTAAGAATACAGGCTTAGACAATTTTATCTATGACCTAAACCTACCAGAGTATACTATGTTCCTACTATGTATTAGATTATACCTGGATTTGGTGTTCAAACTATATCTAGTTACCTACTGCATTCATCTCATATCTCACCATCAAAGCTTGGTAACCCCCAAATTGGTTCATTTGAGTAATTGGTCCTTAATGGCCTCTCAATTTGGTATGCCTGTTATTCAAAGTATTTTCTAGACTGGTATACTCCTTCTAATAGGTGGCTTCTCATCTACATTTCTCAAGCCAGGTACCTGCTACTGCTGCTAGTCCCACATGAGAAGCATTGGTATCACATATTGGAAAGGAGACTTATTATAGGTTTGTACTGCTCAGTTTCTGCCAGCTTGCATTCTTTCATGCAACTTATGTTACATGAATACCCCAAACCTCTTACTTGTATCCTCAGGTATACTAGCCTTATATCTCAAGCCAGGTCCCTGCTGCTGCCGCCTGGTTTGCCGTCCCCAGGTCTTAGTGTTTTCTAAGTTATCTGATGCAGTGTACTTCTTACTACCCCTTAAGTACTCCCTTATATAGTATTTGTCAGGACTATAGTTTGTGAGAACCCCTTGAGTTGCACAGCAACTACAAGACTACACACTCCCAGCTATTAGCTATTTTCGTAATTCTGCTTTAATGATCTATCTTGTTAAAGACTAGCCTAATACCATGAAATTACTTAAGTGGCAAGCTAAATCACTTCCAACTAGCTATTTCTAGTTGGTATCACATTAATGTTGGTAAATCTTAACTCTTTTTCATCATAGACTTCCATATAGATGTAACCAGAGCTCTGAATTGGTACCTTTAAACATACAGGAGTAGATTATATTCTCTATACCAAGTAGCTTTTTATAGTCATTCTACCAGTACCAGAGGTGCTACAATTCCAGTTAAGATATAATCCTTTACTACAGCCCATAGTTGTATATTACTGCTTCTCTCACTACTCTAGTTTTGGTAGTATAGTATCACCCTTTCAAGCAAGTACCTAATGCCATTTCATATTAGGACTTATGCGCACGATTCATTGATCATCCTTCCAAGCAAGTACTCTACAAGTTGGGTGTAGGGATGTTGGTATTGCCAAATATGAAGGTAATAGGATGTTGGTATTGCCTCTGAGTCACTCCAACCAGAGGACTTACATACACGATCTTCTACTGCCTAGACCTTCTATGATGCTACTGTCATACATAATACCTTTATTCCACAACCTGGTCTCCTTTTGAGAACTTCTTATTCTGGTTTTGTACTGCACTTGGATTTTCCACAAGGTTTCGCATCCTATTATAGCTCTATAGGTTATAGAAACAAATTTTTAATTTGCCTCTAGCCTGACTCAAACCATTGACCTTGTCTGTGGGGGTTTGGGAGCTTAACCAATAAGCTATAGGACCCGAACCCACATTTAATTAACTTAATAAAAATTTAACTTTTACTATATAGTTATTATTTTAATTAATTTTGTGTAATAATAAAAACTAGTCAAATGTAAAAATCTAAAATTTTATTTAAACTTAATTATTTTAAAAACTGTAAAATAAAATTTTTTAAATTTTTTTTTATTTAAAAGATATAGATTTAATGAATTTATAATTTAATTTTTAGCTTAATATCTTTTATATTTAGCTCTTTATAATTTTTTATAAAGTGTCCACAATAATATGGTAGGCCACTATATATGACATATATAAATACAGTCAATCCACTTAAGTACACTCTCTATGTGATCTTAACTCTATAAGTGAGTAGTTTAATTAGTCTAGTATAATTTATATGTAGATTAATTTTCACATACGCATATGCATTTTTGCTTAATAGCATGCATTTATAGAAGGTCAACTATAATTAATAGCTTTGCTATCCAATATTGATATAAAATTTAATATGTCTGCTTGCAAAAAGTAATGATAGTAAGATGATCAATTAATAATAAAATACACACATTAATGAAAAACAAAAATACAAAACATTTCATATGATTACAAAGTGATAGTTTCATTATCGTGATAATTAAAGCTCTGCTCTTTGTTGACAAGTAAATAAATTATTGACAAGTAAATAAATTATCAATAGCAAGCATCTTTTATTTAATTTTTTTATGATTATTGCATTTCTTTTTAACTAATATATTATTTCTCTTTAACTAATAATCTTTCACTTAATTTTCTCATGATTATTGCATTTTTTTAACTAATATATTACTTCTTTTTAACTAATTATCTTTTGCTTAATTTTCTCATGATTATTGCATTTCTTTTTAACTAATATATCACTTTCCTTTAACTAATAAATACTATACTTAAATAAATCGGTTATGGAAAGTATGTAGAAACGTTTTTCATTTGTGCTTTATTTTAATGACTACTTATCTTTTTTACTCTGGTTGGTTAAGCTTTTTTTGTTAAGACAATCATGAAGAACTTCAGACTGAACTATCACTTTTTCTTGAAAATATTGAAGAATATAGCCCATTAATAGAATATGAAAATAACACCTCAATATTGCATAAAAGTGTTATTAATCCTACTCAAAATAGTAGTATTTTAAAATATAACTTGAACAAATTGATTATGAAAAGTAAGTAGAGATATATTTTATTTTACACTTTATACTTTATCTAATCACTTATTTATCTTTTTACTTGGCTCTAAATTCAGGTTAAATTTTTTTGTTGAAAATCACAGTGAAGACGAACTATTTCTTTTATTTAAAAATACTGCAGAATGTTATCCTTTAGTAAAACATGAAAATAACCTCATGATATGGCATGAAGGTGTTATCAACCCTGTTCAAAATAGTAAATTAGTTATGAAAAGTAAGTAGTGATGTTTTTATTTTACACTTTATACATTATTTTTACTGCTTATTTATTTTTTTTTGCCTTGGTTCTGAATTTGGGTTAGATTTTTTTATTAAAAATTTTACAGAATGTAATCATTTAGTAGAACAAGACAATAGCCTTATGATAGAGTATGAAAGTACTCAGAATAGTAATATGATAGGGAATAATAGAATTTACATAGAAGAACAGGTTGGTAGCCAAAGTTCTAATATAGAATATTCTTAAAAAAGCATAGGATTAGAAAATGCCACTCATATTAGTGTTGATGACACCTTTTTTTGTAGAAAGTAACTAAAAAATGAATTAATCAATATGCAAAATTGGTTCAATTTTGTTTACGTTGTAAACAAGTTGAAATTGATGATGATGGAATTGTTTATCGACGAATGCTTGAGTGTAGTTTCTCTGAAGTAACCATTTCTTATAAAGTAATTGATCCAACTCAACAACATGAGCGACCATCTAGAAAAATTTGGTACTTCTAGCATATCAATTTAACACAACCTAAAACTTCATCAGTAGTTGGTATCACAAGTATTGTTGAGGAGCACAATCATTCTATGATACTTGACATAAGTTTATATGCTTCTAAGTATCATAAATTATCAGATAATATAATAAAACAAATTAAATTCTATGTTATCAAGGGAAACATAAATTCAAAACAAATATATCTGCTATTAATTACAAGTTTTTTAATCAAATAATATATAAGTGGGATCTTTATAATATCATCCAAAAATTTAAGTAACCTTTTACCAAATGTCAAGATGATGCTCAAAATATAATTAATTAATTGCTTGAGTTACAGGATCAAGAATCCAGTTGGATAATTAAAATACAACATGACCCATATAATAGCTAACTTTCAGAATTATTTTGGATGTTTTCAACATAACAACAAAAACTTATACACTATAATGATGTAGTACAAATAGATAATATATATCAAACTAACTGGTTTAACATGTATTTGACTCTTCTAATAGTTGTTAACAATAATACTAAAAGTCAGCTCATCGCTCAATGCTTGTCAGATGTATACATACTGATAAAATTATTTTGGGTTTCGGTGTATGAAATTAAAATTTGAAGACAAAATTATTTGACGTATTTTACTTAAAAGACAAAATTTTTTGATATTTTTTTTTAAAAGACGAAATTATAAAGAATATAACTACCTAAATTGGATTTGCTTTTGCATATAAAAAATTTTAAATTGCTCTAATGAAGACAAAATAGGGTTTTTTTGAAAACCTATTTTGGTGGCATGTATAGTTAGATGATGAAACAACTAAAAGTTATAAGTGGTTTCTCAACTGTGTTCTTGAAGTGACCTATAATATTCTACTGATTTGTCTGTTTTCTGATTCAGAACCTGCTTTAATAAGAGCAATAATATTAAAAATGCCTACTACCCATCACTTTTTTTGTATCTTTTATATACAATAAAATATATGAAAGAATTTATAAAGTAAATTTAGTAAAAATTACAATCTATTTTATAAGGAATTTTTGTATACCAGAAACAGTTTATTTGAGAATAATTTTTGTTGTCACTAGATGTGTTTATTGGAAAAATATCCTCAAGCATGAGATTATCTTAATCACACTTTACAACCTTATATTT